CCGAAATACAACGGGCTAACCCCGCTAGAGCCCTACCTCTCACAAGTACAGCTAGCCACGAGGCATAGTGGCTGGAGCGATGAAGAGGCTGCTACACACCTAGCGCTAGCATTGGAAGGAGATGCACTGCAGGTACTCCTTGACCTAGCCCCGTCAGAGCAGAATGAGCTCCAGGCCCTCACTATAGCACTCAAGAGGCGATTTGGGCAGTGGCACTCCACTGATCAGAGCAGGGAGCAGCTAACCAACTGGAGCTGTCAGCCGGGGGAGAGCCTTGGCACCTTTGCAGCGGATGTGTTGCTGCATGCTCGTCGTGGCTACCCGGAGTTCCCAGCAGCCAGTGAGGAGCTTAGCCTGCATGCTTTTCTGCAAGGACCTTTTCCAGAAACTCTCTGTGAGGCGCTCCTTGAGGCTGAAAGGGCCGAGCTGGTGCTGGCCTCGCTGCCTAACCAGCAGGTGTCACCCCCAAACTACCCCCAACTCAGAGCCGCAGACTGCAACAGGGAGGAGGAAGTCGCGAAGATATGCCAGCTGCAGCCCTCGGTGCCCTGAAGTTGTCCCCGTCGACCGACCGACCGCTGCTACTGGTGCGATAAGCCTGGCCACGTGGCGCGCGACTACCTGGCGCCCGCCCCGAAGACCAGAAATATGTGGCCTCAGGGAAACGAGAGGGGGAGCGGTGCAGCGCGGGGACCACCGCTCCAGCTTCCTGCCCCCCTCCAGGAACGATGCACGGTGGTGGGCCTTGTTGGGCATCTCAAGGGACTCTACCTGAGCTGCTGTGTTGAGGACCAGCCCTGCCGGGCCCTGGTGGACACATGGTCCATCATTTCCCTAATACGACCTGGTGTGCTCCCTGGAACATCCGGGCCGCTTGTGATGGGTTGATCGCCCACCGACACCCAGCTGATGACGGTGACGAGGGAGAGAACTGACATGCGGGGGAAGAAACCATTGCGGATCTGAGTGAAGGATCTGGAGCTGGTGCATGACTTCTGGCTTGCTGACATCCAAGACCAGTGCATCATCGGCTTTGATCTGCTGACCCGCTGGGGGGCCTGCGTTGACACCGGGACAGGTGTCGGGACAGGGGCTCGAAGTGAAGGCCTACTACTCCCAGTACAACAATCTGGAGACCCACGACGGCTTCCTATACCGGAGATGGCAGGCCCCTGGACAGGGCAAGGATCTCCTGCAGCTGTTGGTGCCTCACTCGCTGCGGTCGCAGGTGCTCGAGCTTGTCCACGGCTCGGTGGGGGCCGGCCATTATGGGAATGCCAAAACTCTCCGGTGTATCAGGAGACAGTTCTACTGACGTAGTTGTTGACGGGATGTGGAACTTCATGCGCCACTCAACGCCCCATGCACAGCATCGAAGGGCGCCACTCAACGCCCCACTGCCCCCCTGCAGCAGTATCTGGTGGAGGCCCCGTGGGAGAGAGTGGGAGTGGATGTCCT